AAAAGGTGGAATGCTTTGGGTGACACCAGTAAATGGCAATGCGAAAGTTGTTGTAGTTAGTTCTGTCGTTGATTCTGTTAATTCTGTTGATGAAAAAATTGTGGAAGTTTTCGGTGCAATCTTTGATTCTCGGTGAGCAAAACCAACGGTTAGTGGTGATCTAAATTCAAAGAGAATAAATTTAATTATGGTAATAGCATCTTCTCTTCTCTCAACATTACTGGTTAGGCTGGCTCAAACTGCTAAGACGCTTTCAAGCAGCTTCTAATGCCACCGTTGACGTAATAGAAGTCATTCCTTTTTCCATCGTCTAAGTCCATATATTGCTGGTCCACTTATACGTTCAAAATCATTTCTGACCGTGTAAGCCCAGATTTTGATTGGCCCATCTTGCTTTTAACGACACCTATCACAATTTTTTGTAACTAACGAAGTATGTGTCAACTTTTGTGGTGGGGAACGAAGATGGCCTGAACTAATGGCGACGCTCCGTGATGTTAATATTAATGCATGTGGTATTTGAACGAAGGTGAATGCGATCATGTGAGATTTTATCCACTCGGTAAATTGTACCTTGAAAAGGAGTGGTCAAAGGCAAATAACCTCTCAATACTGATATCCAGTATGTAGCTATGAGCAGTCGGTTCGTCCAACTGCTCTACTAAGATATAGATGGAGTATTTATGTATTTCATATATTTTCCAATATTACAAATGAATGTGATAAATTAAAAATTTTCGAGAGATATTCCGAGTTGTTATATAATGAATCCGTGAATATTGAACCGATATAATTATAAGTAAAAATTTTCCCAATGATTTTTTTGTAAAATTCTATTTAATATACTTTATTGACAAAATTTAAGAAAGAATTTTACCGAAGTTTGTAAAAACACGCAATGAGTTTTGCAGCTGTGCCATTATTATAATCGCTTATTGGACAAAATTTTTGGGAACAACCAACTTCAGCCGCATATTTCCATTCTTTCTAAAGTATTTTCTAATTTTTCTCGTATTTTACAGTTTTCCATCCATTGCTACAGATTAAATTAATTTTTACAATTTATGAACTAAGTTAACTTACAACACTTAGTCCAATGTTTTCATCGTATTCAGCTGTATTTATTCCAGGATGGATTACTTCGTTGTGTACTGCAAGAAGCAAAATTTTTTTGGGTCTGCACACACTACTGGAATTCCTAATTCTTAATAAGTAGTTTTTCCAAAATTTTGAAATAGCATTAGATAGAAAAGGAACAGAAAACCTCAATAAAATAGATATAATCGCTTTGATAATTTAACCTTA